ACTGTCTCTCTGTAGCTCAGTTGGTTAGAGCTCGACAACTGTCTCTCTGTAGCTCAGTTGGTTAGAGCTCGACAACTGTCTCTCTGTAGCTCAGCTGGTTAGAGCTCGACAACTGTCTCTCTGTAGCTCAGTTGGTTAGAGCTCGACAACTGTCTCTCTGTAGCTCAGCTGGTTAGAGCTCGACAACTGTCTGTCTGTAGCTCAGTTGGTTAGAGCTCGACAACTGTCTCTCTGTAGCTCAGTTGGTTAGAGCTGGACAACTGTCTCTCTGTAGCTCAGTTGGTTAGAGCTTGACAACTGTCTCTCTGTAGCTCAGTTGGTTAGAGCTGGACAACTGTCTCTCTGTAGCTCAGTTGGTTAGAGGACCGGAATCGCAGGGCCGTAGGTTCAATTCCTGCCTGGGACCTGTAGTTGCATTTTTCGCAGCTGTTCCTAGTTAGGTCTAATAAATGTGTGTAAAAATTTGTTAGGACATCGACGCAATACCCAACGGATTTGTCTTTCGTTGAAATAACATACATAAGAAACTCATGATTTATTAAAAAGACGAAACGATGGATTTATTTAGTTAAACTTTATGTACAAGACAAAATCCGCTCCAGCTGAGATCCGTAAGTCTTGTATTATTGCATCGCATTAAATAGTACTGTTAGTGTTGGTTTTCGACCTTGTTTAAATCGCAATGTTGACAAATTCTTTTATCGTATATGGAACATTGCTATATCGAATATCTTGGTTATTAAAGTCATAGACATATTTGGCTGTACATTTTTTGTGCCTACGACACGTAAGTGAGTTGTGTGTTTGATTTACACAGTACAACTCAAGTTGCAAGCACGTTGCTTGCGACAGTTTTACGCAAAGTTGTGTAGTGAGAATCGGCCTTAAAGGCCCTGTCACACTATTGCGTATGAGAGAAACGTATGAGCAGAGTATCAAATTTAATGAAATAATTTTCATACGCACAAAAATCTTTTGAAATGCCAGCGTATGAGTACCGTACATCTGGGCGTACCTCTAGCGTATTCAGCGTGTGCCTAGAGTATGCTTATCGTATAAAGCATACGTTCGATACGCACAAAATTTTTGAACATGCTTAAAAAAAATTTTCTGCCTCGCCGTATGCCACCGTATGCGACTGTGCTTGAAACGTATACAACCTATGCCTAACGTACCCCTAGCGTATGTCAACGTATACCGGCGTATGAGTGATATTTTTCATACGCTGGCATACGCTAGTACGATACGCAATAGTGTGACAGGGCCTTGCCTGTTTTATACGTCGAATTTCGGTCGCGTCGAATGCAATTCAAACAACAGATAATGAAACTTAATGAGGTTTATCATCTCATTATCTATTGTCTTAATTGCATTCGACGCGACCAAAACTCGACGCATAAAACAGGCCTTATCATCATTACAACATGAAAAATAAGGACACACCTACATCGTTTCATTTACACATACTACATATATACACGTAAATTATAGGTGACATTCGTATATCGTCCAACCTCAACTGGAAACCTCTACACTAAAGGCCTAAACCTTCTAAAGGCTTGACGATGCTTTACATTTTCGACTCGAGTTAAATAACTTTATTTTTGTATAATGAAAGCCATGAATTCAAAATCATGAACTTGTGGTTCAAGAAGGTTATATTATGTTTGAACAGGCAACCTTTTGTTTACAGTTACTAACCATACTGTAATCCATCTCTAGAAAATAGTGAAATTTTTTGCTGAATCATGCATTGTGACTTATTTAAGCACATCAAAATCATCCTGCCTCATATCTCCTGGCAAAGCGGGATCATATAAACAGCCCCTTATTCAGAAAATTGTGCATGCTGCCTTTAATCCCTTGGGGCCGAGGCAGCATTTTCCTTGCGTTAGTAACTTCTAGTTTTGCTCTATATGACCATCTATTAACAAGGCAACAAATCTGCTCGACCACACAAAATTTTGAGACAGTGTTGATAGACCTTCTGTTCGGTGTTGTCTATCACATTAAGAAACAAGATCTTACATGAGTGGCTTATTATCGTAAAAGTTAGGGCGGCATCAAAGCAAAGGGCTAGCTTTCTACAGTTTGGTTAGGGGTTCCGCATTGCTCGGACAACAGCACTTAAGTTTTAAGAAAGGAATGTTCAGTATTGGCATGTTAGTGTTTGGGTCTAGATCTGAGCTCTATCTTTCGACACTTTGGTATTGGAAATAGAAGCCATGTGGTTTGTTTGTTTTTAGCGCGAATGGGCGATAAATGCCAAATGTAAAACATTTATTAGAGGTGTTGGTTTTTGTTGCAGGGAAATGTGATAGGAATTAGACAGGAATGATATTTGTGTGTGTTGATCATGTTTAGCGTTTGTTAGTTTGTTGTTGGTGGTGATGATGGTTATGGACTTATGGTGATGATGGTGATGGCCGTGTTTGGTGGTGGTGATGATGGTGGCTGGTGGTGATTGGCAGTGGCGGTGATGATGTCGTCATGGTGGTGGTGATGGTTGTGCTGGTGGTGGTGGTTACTGTGGTGGTTGTCACTTGTAGTGATGGTGGCGACTGGTGATGATGATGGTGGCTGTGGTGATGGTGGTGGCTGTGGTGATGGCAGTGCTGGTGATGGTAGCTATGGTGGTGGTTATGGTGGCTGTGGTGATGACGATGGTGGTGATGATGACGATGATGATAATTGTGTTGATGATGATGATGATGGTGGAAATAATGATGATGATGACGGTAGTGGTGGTGATAGTGGTGGTGATAGTGGTGGTGATAGTGGTGGTGATTATGATGATGGTGATGATGATGATTGTCATGATGATTGTGATGATGATGATGATTGTCATGATGATGATGATTGTGATGATGATTGTGATGATGATGATTGTGATGATGATGATGATTGTCATGATGATGATGATTGTGATGATGATTGTGATGATGATGATGATTGTCATGATGATGATGATTGTGATGATGATGATGATGATTGTGATGATGATGATTGTGATGATGATGATGATTGTGATGATGATGATGATTGTCATGATGATGATGATTGTGATGATGATTGTGATGATGATGATTGTGATGATGATGATGATTGTCATGATGATGATGATTGTGATGATGATTGTGATGATGATGATGATTGTCATGATGATGATGATTGTGATGATGATGATGATGATTGTGATGATGATGATTGTGATGATGATGATGATTGTGATGATGATGATGATTGTCATGATGATGATGATTGTGATGATGATTGTGATGATGATGATTGTGATGATGATGATGATTGTCATGATGATGATGATTGTGATGATGATTGTGATGATGATGATGATTGTCATGATGATGATGATTGTGATGATGATGATGATGATTGTGATGATGATGATTGTGATGATGATGATGATTGTGATGATGATGATGATTGTCATGATGATGATGATTGTGATGATGATTGTGATGATGATGATTGTGATGATGATGATGATTGTCATGATGATGATGATTGTGATGATGATTGTGATGATGATGATGATTGTCATGATGATGATGATTGTGATGATGATGATGATGATTGTGATGATGATGATTGTGATGATGATGATGATTGTGATGATGATGATGATTGTCATGATGATGATGATTGTCATGATGATGATGATTGTGATGATGATGATGATTGTCATGATGATGATGATTGTCATGATGATGATTGTCATGATGATGAT